AATTTAGATAAATTTCATATGAATTTCAAATTTCAAATAAATTTCATCTGAATTTCAAATTTCAGATAAGATTTTCACCCTATTAAATTGTGTCACGTGCCATCTCTATCGACCTAAATTTTTCTATAAAACCAGAGGCTCAGCTCATACCTCTCACACCAGATCTTCTCTATATTTTCATTTCTCAGATTTTAGAATTCATACTCCATTCTCAATGGCAGACATGAACGATGTCTTGGAGAGGCAAGAGAGAGAAACTAGAGAAAGAAGGCGTAGACGAGCTGCAGGCAAAATGGTGCAGAGAGAACTAGATCAGCAAATTGTCACAACAGTGGCTTTACTTAATGAAGAAAACTAGAGCCGCCGTGGTTCACGAGAAGGTCGTGGCCCGAATGTTGACAGACATAGACATTCTAGGGGTAAGAATCTTCTGGAAGATTATTTTATCCCAACTTCTCTGTACTCTAATGTTCATTTTCGAGTGCGATATAGAATGCAACCCCATTTGTTCAATAAAGTCATGCATGATATTTGCAATTATGATGAATACTTTGTTCAAAAGAAAAATTGTGCTGGAAATTTGAGACTTCTTCTCGAGCAAAAGTTCACAGCTGTTATACGAATGTTGGCGTATGGATCATCTGCTCATCATGTGGATGAGATTGCCCAGATGGGGAAGTCCACTGCTTTGTAGAGCTTGGTGAGATTTTGTGATGCAGTCGAAACTCTGTACACTAGGGACTACTTGCGCAGACCTACGCTTAGGTACCTGCAACAACTTCTACAAAAAGCCGAAGCTCGAGGATTTCTAGGAATGGTTGGTAGCATCGACTGCATGCACTGGCAGTGGAAGAATTGCCCAACTGCTTAGCAAGGAGATTATGGGAATCGGAAAGGGCAAAAAAGTATCATCCTTGAAGCCGTTGCAGGATTTGATACATGGGTTTGGCATGCTTTCTTCGGAGTTGCCGAATCTCAAAACGACTTGAACGTCTTAGGTCAATCCCTGGTGTTCAATGATGTTTTGAGAGGTGAAGCCCCGAATGTCACCTATGAAATCAACAATACCGTATACCAGAATGGTTATTATCTAGCTGACGACATCTACCCTGGGTGGACCACATTTATGAAATCAATTCCGCATCCACGATCCCATAAGCAAAAATTATTTGCTGTCCATCAAAAGGGGTACATAAAAGATGTGGAGAGGTGGTTTGGTATCCTCCAAGCCCGGTGGGCTATTATTAGGGGTGCGGCACGTCTGTTTGATGAGGAGGTGCTGAGGAGCATAATGATGACATGCACCATCCTCCATAACATGATTGTGGAGGATGAGTATGATTACAAGTCTGCAGACGTGTACGAACTGGATCCAATGAACACGGCCTTGACAAGAATTTATGAAAAACCCATGGGGCCAAATGGAGAATCAATGCAGCATGAACCGTTGCTTAGGGATGGTCGTGTAATGGGCCGTATGATTGATCGATATACCGAGATGCAATCGTCTTATATTCATGAACGGCGTCAAGTTGACTTGATGAAGCATTTATGGGCGGTGAAAGGCAATGACGGCGAATGAAGTGAAGTGAAGAAGTTTATTTATATTTATTATGTTTATATTTTATTTTTAGTTATGCTTTGTTTTTTTAATACTTTGGTTGTGGTTTGTTTATTTTTAATGCTTTGGATGTGGTTTGTTTTTTATATATGGAATGTGTTGAATAAAAAGGTATTTTATTGAATGCTTTCTTTATTCACTCAAATAAAACCAATACTACTAATGAAATAAAATACATGAATTACAACTACTTTTGAAAACAAAACATTGAAATACAATGAAATAAAAGGCAAACAAACTAACTTAATGGTTTTCATCATTTAACCAATCCGTGTTGCTAGGTCCATCGTCACGAAAAAGTCTTCGTTTCATAACATCCCTTCGTTCTAGCTTCCAAAATTGTTTTGTTTCAGGGGACATATGGCTTGTATCCATGGCCATGGTTTCCCGATTCGTCTTCTCAATGTTTTGTTTGCGTACATACTCCCTTTATTTTGCATATTCCACTTGAAATGCCCTCTCATATTCTTGGGTTTTCTTGTCTATTTCAAGTCTCATGGTGCTTTGCCTTGCAATTTCCTCCAAAAATTTAGATGTATTACTAGTAGAATTACTCCCTCTCTTTGCCTTCGCCGCCTTTCTCCCAATAGGCCTCGGCTCCCTTTGGATGGGTGAGTCTTGACTCATCGGGGAATCTATAGGCGAATTCGATTCTGGTGAATCATGGAGTGGTGTCTCGTTCAACACCATAGTTGGACCCGTTGGGATAATTCAGAATCTTGGACAATTCTTCACCACCTCCCAACATTGGTTATAGTTGAAATTTTTTTTGCCTTGCCCAGTAACACCATACCACATTTGTGCTTGCAAAATCTATATAAAAAAACTATATTGGAAATGCAAGAAACTTAAAAAAATATTGGCAATGCAACAAATATAAACAAAATAATGGAAATGCAAGAAATATTAAAAAAATGATTGGAAAATCAAGACATATTAACAAAATATTGGAAATGCAAGAAACATTTAAATAAATATTGGAAATACAAGAAATATTAACAAAATATAGAAATTGCAAGAAACATTTTTAAAAAAACTTACTAGGACATTAAAATTAATAAAACGAAAATTACAAATAATTTACCTCATTGGTAAGATTTTCCCCTCTCCTATGGTTGTCCATCGCTTTTGCCAAAGCATCTCTCCATTTCCCCAACTCTTTATTGAGAATTTTCCACCTACTAGATAATGCCATTTCCGTACGGGTCGAACCCGATCTTTCACAAAATTCTTGATGAATTTTTTTCCACATATGCATAAATTTCATCTCATTGCCCAAGACGGAACAATGACTAATTTGGACCCAACACTCACACAACAAAACATCTTCCATGGTGCTCCATGCCCCAATACCGTCGGTAGAAGAAGCCATAAGATGATAAATAAAAATACAATTTGGAAGTGAATAAAATATTGAGTAAAAAGTGAATAATAGTAGAAGTAGAAGAAAATGTATGAGGATTTGGTGTTGAAAGTGAAGAGTTTTGGTAGGTATTTATAGAAAAAAATTTCAGAATTTTTGGGTTTTTTTATTTTTTATTTTTAAATTTCTATTTTTTTTCATTTTTTTTATTGCACAACAATTGACTGTCGTTGGATTGGAGGAAAAATTCTTATCGAAGAGCCCAAAACGCGACACATGGCAGAGAGCCGTTGGTGGCACTGTAGCGGCACGTTCAAATTTTTTTTTACATTGGTTGTGCAATGCACGCGCTAACGTTAAAAAAATTCGAACGCCCTGTGGGCTGGAGCTCGGGCTAGCCCAGGTTGCTAGGTCCCACCATCTGCCCGAGCCTAGTTTTGTTGCTGGAAACACATTAAAACAAAAAAGTGAAACAATTTTTACCAGCCCACACTCTTGTGTTATGGGATGGCCCAGTCAAACTTTAAAAAAAGAGGGAACACAACTTATAAGCAGCCAAATAGCTTTTGACTATGCAATTTCGGACAGTTTCGTTGAAGTTTTTGATAATTTCCTCTGAAAAGCAATTCATTCGTACCGTCAAGTTTTTAAGGTAAATTTCGCTTACCTGACTTTTGAATCCTGGATCCGCCACTGTGTGTGAAGTGGGTTTCGGGAAATACTCGAGCTTTTCGACATTGCCAAAATCTTCAGTGATGGTGCCAGTGAAGTTGTTGCTACTGAGGTCAATATAAGTCAAATTGGGTAAGAACGCAAAACCCGTCATAATCAACTCATTGATTTGATTGTGTTGGATTCGAAAGTGCAAGAAGGAAGTGCAGTTGGCTAAGGTGCTTGGGAAGGGGTTGTGAACCTATTTGAGAAGAGTAGGAGCTTGACGAACTTGTTGACTTTGCAGAGGTTTGGAGGGATTGGACCGCCGTGAAGATTGGAGGAGACATCGACCCTCACAAGCTTCTCACTGAAGCCTAAGCTTTGGGGAAGGACATCTGAAAATGAATTATTCCAAAGAAGCAAATTTTCCAAGTTGGGTAGCCTTTTGATTTGGTATGGGATTTGACCAACCAGAAAGTTGTTCATTAACATAGCAATTACTAGAGGGATTGAACCGGTGAGCTGATTATTTGACAAACCAAGTGATTTGAGACCATGTGAAAGCTTGAGACTTTGCGGGATTGTGCCTGAAAATCGATTCTTGAAGAGCAACAATTAATGTGTCTAGCATTATGGTTAAGTTGACGAAAAACAAACAAACCCATATTACCCAAACCTCGATATCCCACAATCACCACCAAACTTCCTACCCTCTATACAGTCCAAATCCACGGCAACCACCACCCAAAAGGTACAAAAATGAAAACCTATGAATGGGGGTGTTTTTCTCCCTCTCCCCATCTTTTTATCTCTCTTCATCTCTCCCTCTCCCCCCCTCTCTGTACACCAACCCATATATGAATTTGGGGTGTTGGGTATGGCTTATATTTGAATCAAATTGGCTTGATTTTCAAGGCTCCTATGAGGCTTGAAGTTGCTACTCTGTGCGAGAGATCGAGGGGGTGGGAAATGGGGGCTTAGTTGAGGATGGGGTCGTGATGAGATGGGGGATGGGGGGCTGTGTTATTACTTTTTTAAATTTCTGGTTTTTTTTAAAACTTTTGTTTTAAGTTTATAATATTTTTAAATTGTATTTTTATATTCTTTTAGGCAAAAAGTCCAATTTACCCCTAAAATTTGAGCATGTGTAATCCATGTGATTCAATTTAACAGAAAATTGGACGATGGATCATTTTGATATGAAGTGAAGAGTTGGAGGACAATTGAAACGAAAAATTTAGTTGATAGACCAAAATGATATTGGAGCAATAGTTAGGGGACCTTATTTCAGTAAAAAACCCTCAAAAAAAATATTAGTCCGTCCGTGAGAAAATTCCTAGACCGTCCTTGTGTGAAATTACAATAAGGGACCGCATAATTACCAACTGTTTGAGCTGTTTGAGCT